TCACAGTTATAGCTTCCGAAGTTTATAGCACACTGACTAAAGCAAACTAACAATAGGTACTTCTTTTGGCGCGTCGCATTGGTTATATTTTATAGGCGTGTGGAGGTTTTCTCGAAATTTCAGTTTTAGGTAACAATAAAAAGCTACATTTAAGCGCTTACATACATACATATATTGTTAATTCTTACTTTCGAGAATTTTCTACAACTTTGGAGAATAGGCGGGAGTTTCGCAATATATATCTAACAGTATAAGCTATGTATATTTCTAAATATAAATTCAATCTAAACAAACGTCGATATTAAAATAAATATATAATAACAAATTCGTTACAATATTCAGTCACTGCATTAGAGCTATCATACTGTTATACTTGGCAGATTATAATTTACAAGTTTTTGATTATTTTTATGCTCACAAATGTAAGTAAAATCACTTGTTTTCGAAAACCATAAGTTTAACTGAAGCATGAAGTCAAGCTCTCTAATGAATTGGAGCCCCCATTCACAAGATATGTTGAAAATTGTATTTTTTATCTTCATTAGGTTCTTGGATGGTGTGTTTTATACTAACTTCGATCATATTGTGTTATGATTTGTGAACACTGTTCTGACTCTATGTTGTTTACATATATTGTGTAAGTTTTAAAATTGACCTTTGACACAGAAGAATATAGCCGTGTTTGTAATTTTCTTCAAGCAAATTCTTGTTGTTTATCTTTATTTTGTTCTTTATTAAGTGTATATCCATTGTCAAGAAGGCTCGTGGTGATGCATATTACTTCCTTCTTCTTAGCATCTTCGGTATTATAAATCTTGTTTATTATAGAAATTAGACAGTCCACAACGCATATTTTTACACTTTCTTGGATGAATAGATTTATGCTCGAGGTATTTACAATCAAGCAGGCGGTAGCACTGCCTACGTAGGAATGGCTCGGATTATTCATTGAAATGGTATTTTAAGTATCTTCCCAACATGTCATCAGAACTTTACAATACTATACAGTTTTTCCTTTTATAACAATATCTATGTAATG